CATCGCTACTAGGAGCAAGGACGCTACTAGGGGGCTCCTGGCCCTACCACTAGGAACAAGAAGCTACCAGGAACAAAGGGCATCGCTACTAGGAGCAAGGACGCTACTAGGGGGCTCCTGGCCCTACTACTAGGAACAAGAAGCTACCAGGAACAAAGGGCATCGCTACTAGGAGCAAGGACGCTACTAGCAATTCAATTTTACATTTGATGCGTTTCAATCGCAGGAACCACCAACCTCAGTGCCACTTGCAGCCGCTTTCCGCGATGGTGTCCGATGCACTTCTCCAAGGGACGTCCCTTGGAAATCTCATGTCCACTGTTTCATAGACATGACATGGGCACCCCCCAGTACATCATGTCAAAGCACGGTAACTTTGGTGGTGTTGCTTTTTGCACTGCAGGTGTGGATTGAGAAGCTTTTGGAACCTTATGCCTGCAACGCCGAGTTTGTCGTCCACGTGGCAAGCCTTTGTGCCATGCCAGAATTGGCTCCAAAGAAGCCACAGGAAGAGCAAGGCATCAATTGCCAAGAACAGACGACGAAAATCCAGCAATGAAAAAACATACATTGGAGTTGAAATCTTCAAAAACTGGAATGAGAAATCCTTCACAAGAAGTGTCAGGTTCTAGTGGTTGGAGCAGGATTGCAATTGAGCTGAGTCTTTTCCCGAATGCGTAGCGAAGGGTTCTCGTTTAACTCTTGGGGGTCTGGGGGTAGAGCCTTGTTCGTGACCCGTTGTTTCTAAGTTCGCAACCGTCCGCAACCGTTCGCAACCGTTCGCAACCGTTCGCAGTAGAGCGCTAAGGCGCTGCCATTGGGGGAAGCTTTTGCAAGTGACTTTTCATGGATGTGTCACGTGTCAGTTTGCGACGCTATTCCATTGTGATTTGCATGAAAATGACATGTCTCGCAAGGAGCGTCATGCATTTCGCTGCACAGGCGCAGCGTTTTGTGACATCTGCAGTTTGCTACGCAGTTCCATTGGGATTAGCGTTTGGAGAGTCGTGTTTTTGGGGTGTTGGATGTGGCCGTGCCATTGGGATTTGCGTTTCAGGGTGTGGCATCGAAGCTCTGTTTTCGTGACCATTCTCACCTAAAATGGCGACTTTGGTGGATCAGAACGGGTCGAAATCATTCCAAACGTGTGGTGTGGTGCAAATTTTGTTGAAGCTGACATGAGATGATAGGCGCAGTACTTTGTGTGGGTTGCGGTTCTCGTGGCAGGCGCAGGGAATGGTGAGGTTGCGAGGTGTGACGGAGGTGACATTTCGTGGCAGGCGCAGTACTTTGTGCGCGTTGGATGCGGAAAGATTCGTGGCAGGCGCAGGGAATTGTGAGGTCGTGAGTTGTGGTAGAGGTGATGGCGTGTGAACGGGTGTTGTTTGGAGGGGCTGGACTCGCGAAACTGCTTGGCAGGCTGCGTGATGTGTGTGCTCCGATGGGTGTTTCCGCTTGACTTTTGGAGGAAGTCTCGTACGACATGCTCGTTTTGCAGACTTTGACATGTGAGTTTTGGAGAAAGTCTTGTACGAAACGCTTGTTTTGGAGACTTGACACGTGACTTTTGGAGGAAGTCTCGTACGAAACGCTCGTTTTGGAGACTTGACATGTGTTTGGAGACTTGATGTGTGACTTTTGGAGGAAGTCTCGTACGAAGACTGTCCCACAAGAGTGTCCTACAAGAGTGGCCCGCAAGAGTGTCCCACAAGAATATCCCACAAGAGCGTCAAAGAGTGGCCCGTATGAGTGTCCCACAAGAGTGTCCCGCAACTGTGTCCCACCAAGAGTGTCCCACAAGAGTGTCCCGCAACAGTGTCCCACAAGAGCGTCTCACAAGAGTGCCCCACAAGAGTTTCCCATAAGAGTGACCACAAGAGTGTCCTACAAGAGTGTGCGACAAGAGTGTCCCGCAAGAGTGTCCTACTAGAGGGTCCCACAAGAGTGTCCCACAAGAGTGTCCTATAAGAGTGTCCCTCAAGATTGTCCTACAAGAGTGTCCCACAAGAGTTCCTACAAGAGTGTCTCACAGAGTGTCCGACAAGAGTTTCCCATAAGAGTGACCACAAGAGTGTCCTACAAGAGTGTCCCAGAAGACTGTCCCACAAGAGTGTCCCACAAGAGTGTCCCGTAAGAGTGTCCCACAAGAGTTTCCGACAAGAGTGACCCACAAAAGTGTCTGCGTTCGGGTTCGTGGGCTCCATTTTGTTTTGTACATGAAAGGAATTATATGGAGGTTGTCCTGTCGGTGTTCGCGCAAGCAAATTCGCGCGGGGGCGTAGGCTGTGTAGGCAATATTGGGGAATGTCTTTGCATAAGTTCCTTGCGTAGGCATCCCTTTTCATAAGCTTGATTTCTTGAAAGCGTTGCGTCTCATGGTTTTGGTGTTTTGCTAGGACAGAAGCTCAGTTTAGAGGGGTAATGGCACTAAGGAACAACGTCCCGATATTGCACGCATACAAACAAACGATGCAGATAGCGCGTGAAATTGTTGTGGCAAAGTCATTCTTGCCAATAGCGGCGATGATGGAAATAGGATGAAATCACGAAAGCTAGCTGTAGCTAGCTGGAGTCTGTCTTGCTTTAGCAAGGAGGGTGGGAGCCGAGGACCTGAGTGCAGATACCTGATTTATCAGGCTTTAACCCCCCTCCCCCGCGGGTTCAACTCCACCCTTCTCCTCAGTACCTGCTGCTGCTTGGTCTCTTGCTGGTTGCTGCTGACATGTTGGGGCATGAGAAGAGTTCGGTGGGGGAAGCGGGGGGTGATGAAGAGTTTGGTGATGTTTGGTGGAAGTATGGCAGTAGTTGAGTTTTCCCTTTGTGCATCTTACATTAACTATACTATTGTCACGTTGCCCCAACTCGTGTCATGGTACGGTTGATGCCATTCATGCGGTTCAGGGTTGCTGCACTTGTTGCAACGCAACACTGCTGCTGCTGCTGCTTTGCTGCTGCTGCCTTTGCTGCTGCTGCTGCTGCTTTGCTGCTGCTTCGTCCCTCCTGCTGATGCTGCTGCTGCTTGGTAGCAGCAGCTCTGTTTGGTAGCTGCTGCTGCTTGGTGGCTGCTGCTGCTGTGGCTGCTGCTTGGTAGCTGATGCTGCTGTTGCTTGGTAGTTGGTGCTGCTGCTGCTGCTTAGTAGCTGCTGGTGCTGCTTGTTAGCAGCTGCTGCTGCTGCTTGATAGCTGGCGCTGCTGTTTGCTAGCTATTCCTGCTGCTGCTTCCGCTGCTGCTTGGTAGTTTCTGCTTGATGCCGCTGCCGCTGCTGGTTACAGTTATGGTTGTTGTGGTTGCTGCTGCAGCGGTTGCTGGAGTGGTTGTGCGTTGTCATGTTTTGGATGTGTTGGGGTCGTATTGGGGGGGGGGCGCCGTTGGCATTCTCCTTTTCCCTTGGCCATGGCATGTTGCGATTCCTAGCCTGGCTTTTGCTGCCTAAAGAGCCCTAACGTTATTTATTTACCCAGCTTTCGCCACCCCCTTTGGGCCACAAGTACTTGTTTCTTCGCATAGACACGCTGCCAAACCGACTTCCCTTTTGCGCATTCTACCCCATGTCTTTGTAAAATTATTTTTTGATGATGTTGCTTTGTAACTTGTTGACAAAACATCAAATGAAGTTTTTTGCAGGCGGTAGTAATAATCGTAGGCATCGTAATCGTAGTGGCGGTAGCGATGAGACCGTAAATATAGAAAAATGAAGTTTAATGATAACGTAAGAAAAAATATTGTATCGTATATATATTATGGCATCGTAAATATATATATAATATTTAAATATAAGTAATATCGACAAATTAAAAAACTATATTTAAAATTTAGAAGAATTATTCTTTGATTAAATATAAATAGAAATTAATAATTGTGAAAATTTATATTATATATATATAATTGTGTATTTAATTTATATTTTTGATTTGTTTATATGTTGATTTATATGATAAATTAAATAATTGATTATCGAAATTGTATATTTCGTGTTTGAATTTAGGACGGGATTTTGGGGATGTTATATTATTTTGATTGTATATGGTCGCGAACAATCGCGATAATTAAATTTGAAATAATTATTATACGACGAACATTTGGAATATTTAAGAATTATCGAAAAAAATTGTTATATTCTTCGATCTAATAAGTAGAATAGAAATAATTTGTGGAATTATAGTGGGTCGTCTTTCTGGCTCGCTGTCTTTAATTTATGGGATTGAAGAGTTGATTGCGTGATAGGTGATGTCTTTTGATTAATTTGTCGTTTTTGTAGACCGATTCGTTTTTAGTGTCGTTAAGTGTAAGGTGTTTGATTAATATGGATGTATATTGTATTTTCTTTTGGCAATTACGATGAGTTATTTTATTAATTATAAAAAAATTATTTGATTCCCTGGAAGCATTCTTCCCAAAGCAGAAAAGTAGTGAATTAATGCAAAAAGGAAGTCGTTTTTAATTGCTTTTGCTCTGAAATATAATTATAATCAGAGTTATAATTAGCTAAACCCTTATGTACCTGCTTGCTATTCCAGGTCAAGCTTCTATTCTGCCTGCTTGCTCCATTTTAATTCTTATTTCGATATTTCGAGCGGTCGCGATTCGAACACGATTTATTTATTGCTTTTGGTAACGGGATTTTTTTTTATAGGAAATGGTTCCGACGCCGTTGTTGCAATGGCTACGTCACTTTGTCCCGCAATTTTAGCTACGTCACCTTGTCCCGCAATTTTACACAAGACGAATGGTTGCGGTTTCGGTGTTGGTGACCTGAAGTATAATTTCGTTGGCGGAGGTGTGTGATCCTATATATTCGTAAGTTCAAATTTAAAAATAAAAGACGGTTTTGAATATGTTTTTAATATTTGAGGCTCTTTTATGGACCCAATATGAAGATTTACACCTGTATGAGTTGAAGCAGGAGAATGATTTAGAAATTTATCTTTCGGTCCAGAATAAACAATGGACTAATCGATGCTTATATAGATTGTAAAAAATAAAATTGATCTCCCTGAACAAAAATACCGCCCGGATGATATTGAAAAGAATCGGATTGACAAAGGAATATAGATCAATTATTCCGATAAAAATTGATTTTGTGTTGATATTTTTTAGTTGTTGCGGTAAATGAAATATATAAAATGAAACTGTGAATGTCACTCCATGACATGAACCTGCATCAGTGAGGTTGTCTAAGGATTAGTTGTCGATCGTCCGCTGCTTGGGCACGAACCCTTCACTCGCGACCTCCTAAGATGGGAGGGACAGCTTGAGCACCTACTACATTGGCGTGAAAAGCTTCGCGCTGCACTTCGATCTCCAGCGCTGGAACAAGGGCAAACGCTCTGAAGTCCCAGGACCGGATGACGAGGTCTCTGAGGCCCAGCGCGGTGGTAGTCGATCTGCAAGATGGCTGGCGGCCCAAAGGAGCAAATCCAGCTTCTCTCAACAGCCGTGATGAGCCATTGTGCGAACAGATGGCCCGAACAATCTTCTGTGTGAGCCCGCAGATGTCCAAGGCACATTGCCACCCAATGGGCTGGGAATTCAATGGATCACGACGTCACCACAGCACA